TACCGAGGATCTTTGGCCTTTAACTTTGTTCTACCTTTCTGTGCCCTTGTTAAAAGGGAGATGCATTTTTAGGGGTCAAAAACGTGGTGCCCGTTCTCGACGTGGCATTTAGCTGTAGATTGATGCAAGCCTTTGCCTTTGACCCTTCCGCCAAATTATCTGGTTAGTCGGGGGGGTCTTCCGCTTTCGATCGCAACACCGCGGTTAACCTCTGTATCAGAGGGCGGCGCGTTGTGAAATTAAGAGGAATCGAGAGCTGGGTACCACCGACCCCTTTCAAGCGCAGGGCTCGTATAGCACAAGGGACTCCACCGTGTGGCGTCTCTCATAGCTGCCCCGGCGTACGTGGCCTAATCAGTGTTTACGCTCTGACTATGCTCCCTGAAGAAACTTGAAGGTGTGCGAGGTGTACAGAGTTTTAGGAACTAGATCTAGAGTCGGAGTGCGGTGACGTGTGAATGCGTGGTGTGAAACTTGCGATTGGTGAGTGCCTGAAGAAACTAATCAGGGTTAAAGGGCTTTTCGAATGATTCCGGTGGAGGGAAATTCACGAGGATGTGATCATAACGTTTGTGTCTGTAGCGGTTACTTTGCACGTTTTTTTTGGGGGGGGGGGGGGTTTTTACAAAAGGGAAAGCGGGGATAGCGGCGCTAGGGGGGTGGTGTTTTTACAAAAGGGAAAGCTGGGATAGCGGCGCTACTGGGCAACTAATATTTTGGCAATACACAGGGGGCTCGTCCGGGATGGTTAACACTGTTTGTCACTTCTACTTGCCCCCTTCTCAGTTTTCTTTTAACTGTCTCAATCCTGTATCAGCTGTGTAGGTTCCTGCCGACAGTTCGGTATTCAACAGTATTCAAGAGGAATGAATAAATTAAATCTTGACGATGACGAAACCAGTACAGTTTAACTTGGGTTTTACACAGTGCTAAAATGTAAGAAAAATTAAGAGCTGAAGGAAATTGTACCTCTCTAAAGGTCTGGAGGAAAATAAAAACTAAATCTTAAATAAAAGATGAAATGTCATGCTTGAGTCAAAGTGATCTTTCTGTTTTTTTTGTCTCTCAACCTTCAACTTTCTTTCAGCGCCTCGAGACGTGATGAAAGGCGGTGATGGGCTCACGTTCGCACGTTTTTGCTCAGCGCTCGGACACGTCCTCCTCATTTGCGTCAGCACTCGTCGACATTTGCTTCTTTAAGAGATCAGGTCTGGAGGAGGGTTTGTGGCACTTCATTTTTTTTTTGTTCGCTCTAGTGGGTGTCAATACCAACCTCCGGTGCACGAGCCTTCAAATACTTTTGGTGCGGCCCAATTAACTTTATTTCAGTAAAGAGGCAGCGGCTCCCAGATAATGTCAAGAGTGCATTAGGCATTCGCAGCGAGCTTACCGAGCGCCCAGCTTTCAAACGCTCAGCAGAGCACCTCTGTCATGCTCTCGTGCTTAAATTACTGCAGTGCTGATCTAATTGGCAGTGGAAGCTGCCAGCAAATATGCAATACTGAAACTGCAGTGACTGGGCATGTTTTCTCCAGGGCTTCTGTTATAATGACCCAAATACGTAATGTATTCCTTCGTAGAGTGGTTTAGTCAATATATATAGAGACTGAATGATCAAGTGCCTCATTTCTGTTTTATCACCTAAAATGATTTGCATATGTATAACAGTGTTATTTAATGGTGTAATTAGTTCAATGAGGCAGGACCTGAAATCGTTCTTGTCTAGGTCAGTGGTTCCCAGCATTTCTTTTTTTTTTTTTTGGAAATACTGGAGTTTCTTGCACAACTTATTCAGCAGCACAATGCTAAATCTTCAGCACTTAACTGACAGCATGACCAGTGTAGTCCAAATTCCAAATGAATGATTCAGTTCGAATGAGTCAGTTCTTTTTATTGCAAGCCAAACAGCTTGCAGCTGACTGTGACACTTGAATGTAGTTAGTGACTAGTTGAACTTCATGACAATGTCATGCCTTTGGTCAATAATATTTAATAAAAATCTGTGAAATATGCTTAAATGTTATTTGTTACTTAATATATATTATAATATATGTAATATTATGTATAATTATTCAGTTGCATTTGTGCTGCCTCTAAAAAGACATTTAATCTCATCCTTTGGCAATAGAATGGTATTTTTTCCTGATTATTTTCTGAATACTCTACTTTCAAAAATATTAAATAAATAAATCAGAGAACTGTTAAGTTTTAAATCGGTGTTATTGATAGCTAAAGCTAAATCTATTTAAAAATTTTCATTCATATAGCTTAAATAAAATATAATATTAGATGGAAAAAGAAAAATAGGAACTATTATAAATTATGTAAATTCAAGCAAATAGAAAAAATAAACATTTAAATAAATTACGATTTAGAATTAGAACAATTAGAATTTAGTTTTAGTAATTTCAAAATGAAAACAAAATATAAAATGAAAGTTAATTAAAAATCTTAATAAATGCTTTTTGATTAACACTGACCTAAATCTTTAAGAGGAACCGCAATCATAATCATTTATCGACATCCAACACAGTAGTGTTTATCTTGAACAAATAAAAATGAAACCATTGAACACTCAGTACCCTTGATAGTTTCAGTTGTCTGTTATTGAATTAAATTTTTTTTTTTTTATGGTTTCTTGCTGTCGGCATCCAATTATAGACTTCACTGTGCATCTTTATCTTTGGACCGTGTGGATCTCAAACTGTGTCCATGTTGTTGTGAACTGGCGAGTTCACCCAGACTTTTATGCAGTCAGTAAACGATATGGGAAGTGTTTCCTCTTCACAGAAGCCTGTTTATTTTTATATGGTTAGTTGCATTTTATAATTTGCATTTTGCATTGTTTTTCCTCTTCAGAACAGGCCCGTGACCCATTTTCAGGTCTCTCCCCACCAGTTGAGAATCATTGGTCTGGGCGTCTCGGAGCAGTGATCTAAATGCTCTCAAGTTAAAGTGCTTGTGTTTCTGCCACCCGTCATCAACAGCAGGGTCAATACTCATTGTCTCAAGAGGCCTGATGGAGAACACAGAGACCCATCCTAATCAGAGGTGGTTATTCATAGCAGTGCACTCACTCTAAATGCATTCATGAAGTATTCATCAAGCCTCAAACACAGGCTTTTCATCTCTTTAAATCAGCCTGTTAGTGTTTTTGTTTTGTACTTTTTTAGCCAACATATCTAGTACGAGAGCTAGTTAGTTATTGCCTCCGTCATGTCGGCTTCCCTCAGACTCTGCTCGCTGTTATCATGTTTGATGAGTTTGCCCTCTATTTTTCATCCTTGTACTTTTCTCTCTCCACTTTCTCTGGATCTGTTTCAGCGGTTTGCACAGTTGATCAGATAGTAACCTCATCATATTTGTTGCCATGGTGATTTTACTTGCCTTAAATGTCAGCAAGTGAACTTCACTGATCTTTGTCTCACTAGACTGCCGTCCTGTCATTTTCTTTTCCTTTTTTTCCTAGATAAACATTTTTATTAATTTTTTTTGCAAACCCTTTACGGTAAGGTTCAGTTTGGTAACATTAGTTAATGCATTAGGTATCAGGAATTAAAAACAAACAATACTTTTGCAGAATAAATTAACATTATGTACAAAAACGAATAAATAAACAATAGTATATTTATAAATTACCATTAAAAATCTTTATCATTTTTCATGATACCTAATGCTTTAATGTTAACAATTTTATTTATTTATTTTTTACTTTAAATGCCTGGAAATAAGGTAAGTACAATAAAAGGTAAATATACAATACAAATAAACACAACAATGAGATTTTATTTTTGTAGTATTACATTCCACAGTTTTAACATTTTTTCCCAGAATTTATTTTCTCCTTTTTTTTTCTTAAACATTTTTACAGTTTTATTCATTTTTTTCAGGTACTCAACAGACACATTACTGATGAAAAAGATCCGATAAACCTTTAGGCTTCAGTGTCCCATTAAAAAGCTGCAGTTTCACCAATTCTGCTACTTTTTTCATTTTATTTTTACATTTTGAAGACAAAAATATTCCCGCTCATGTTTCCCATCCCACCCCGCTCAACAAATAACTGAACAAAGGCTGACAACTGTTGGCTGTGATGTAAACACATTTGTGTGAATGTAATGTGTAGATTGTGTAAAGGAATCTGTGATCCTGAGCCCATATTACCTACATGCCCAACACTTCATGATCTTCCTTTGAGGAGAGTCCTTAAAATGCCCACTAAGTGACAGTTAGGCTGTTAGTTTTTATTCATTCCACTTTCACTATAAGCATCACAATGATCCATACAAAACTTATGAAATGCCGTTCACTACCTGCTTTCTGTCTAGGACGGATGCCAATTAAGCTGTAATTGAAAGTGTTTATTCTCGGCGTCTGATGCGAGCATCTGCCTTTCGGTGCTCTTTGATGTCTTTATACTCTGTGATTGAACACCCCTCTTTGCCTTGTTGGTGAAAGGAGGAGTGAATTTAAGTGTGTTTTTAAATATTATTACATGTTTTTCTCAAATAGGACTGGAACTGGTTTTATTTGAGAAGTGTTGTGTACAACCAGCGACTGACCCCATTTATGTCTTCGCCTAGGAGCGTAATCCGTGGACTGAAATACATATTTTCCTCCTAAGTGTGTCAAGGAACACTATCTTATATAAGGCCAGATGGGCTTGTTGCAAGATGGCCCTAAAACAGATTGTTTATTGTGTATTTATGCAAGTTTTCTGTTGCATGCACATTGTAATCAAGCACTGTGGAGTTTGTGGGCCGTGTTTGGTCGATTTGTTGCTTCTGGAAAGTGTGAAGTCTTCTGGAGTTCAGGATGTTTATGTAATTTCATGGCCAATTGCATTGTCAGCATGCAACAAAGTCTTTTTACTTGAATGCTGCCACACCAATCACCCAAAGCGCCCATAAATCTGTCAGAAACCTCTTCTGAATGCTTCCCATGAAGACTGCTGGACCCATATTTCATCAATGCAGAGTTGAGAAGGAGACTTTTTTAGTGAACTGTTGGCTGTGTTTATGGTGAAAGATCCCATGAAATGGTTTTGGAAGTAGTGTTGGGATGGATCATTTTGAAATGGCCTTTAGAGACAGCCTTTAGTTTGTCACGGCTCTGCAAAACGTCACTTGGCATCTTGTTTTATAAATGAATGCAATGAAAACTCTCAAAATGAATTAACTTCAGCTGCAACCAATTAATGGTTGTTAAAGAACTAAAGTATGAGCATCAGAGCAACCAATGATGCTTTGTTTCTTGCTATGGATATTTGGAAGCAGGTGATATTCATGATTTAGGTTCTTTAGCTTCAAGTAAAATGAAACGCCCCTGAAACAGTTAAAGGGATAGTTCACCCAAAAAACAAACCTGTATGAGTTTTTCTTGTTGAACACAAAGAAGACATTTTGAAAGGATGTAGGTTACCAAACAATTGCTGGTAGCCATTGATTTCCATTTTTTTTACCCCATTTCTTTCAGAGTTTTCATTTTTGGGCGAGTTATCCCTTTAATCAACATCTACGAGGAGAGGAGAGCTTTTTAAATGGGTTTTCCCATGACTTTTGACAAATTTTAATTTTTTTGGTCCTTTATGACTTAAGGATTAAAAAAATAAAATAAAAAGGAATGCATTCATGAATAGCAAATTTATAGGCAATGCAATTTTTTTGAGCAGAGCCTTACTATACATCCACTATAGAATTTTTTGACATTTCATGATGTTTGATTTATTTCATGACTTTTCCACGGCTGGAAATCACAATTCCCTGATCTGCGAATCTTTCAATGATCCCTTAAATCTGCTAAAAGTTGGTTTTGTCCATGTTTAGGAGTACACTAGCGTATATACTGTATACGGCTTCAATGTCAATAAACATGAATATTTCATAGAGTCTTTAAATATGTAAGCGCCCATTCTTTGTACAGCAGTAACCTGACAGACTTGATTGGACACCAGGCTAACCACTAGTTGAGCCGCTGGCCATCATGCTAATGTGTGGAACCGAGAATGTCTATGAAAGAAACCTAGCAGGTATTTTCCTTTATTTTTTTATTTTTTTGGCAAATCTCCCTTCTAGAAATCTGTAAACATGGTCTTGCTGCAAAGCTAAATCTCCTAGTGTAGGTTTTTGGCATGGATGAATGAGTGTGCTGATTCGCCAGTGACCCTTGGCGTGTGTCCCTTCATAGCACGCTGTTTTATGGCTGCTCGAGTGATTTTTTTTTTTTTAATGCATTTATAGCATGTGAAATGGATAATAAAAAGTTTCAGATTGCGAAATGAATGCGTGAGAAGAGAAATTATGAAAACAGCTTGAGGGAACCAATTGCATGTCGGCTTAGAGATTGTATTAAGCTTGTACTTGCCACCCGTCCTCCATTTCGAGGTCATGATTCCACAGATGTACATCTTTTGTGCACCGCTGCTGTCTCATGTAATCACGAGGCACTTACATACCACATCCTGTTTTGGGAGTTCCCTTTAAGTAAAGAGACGCATGGTTAAACAGGGCAGGAAGTTGGATTCAAATGAGGATTTCTTTTGTCAGCCCATAGATGCTTTCAGAAGAGAAGTCGGCATGCGTTCCCATCAAATGGCATAAATGCCTCCTTCCAGACAAGCTTAAGGCAGTAACAGTGTGATGTTGAGTTGTCTTTCTGTCTACGTCAGTCGTGTCTACAGGGACTAAGTGTTCGCTGTCTAAAACAGGATATGGCATCTTTCCTTTCCACTAATTCTTGGTTCAACAAAAGCCTACCTGATTTCCCCCAAGGCAGGTTTTTGATTTTATGCATCATTATTCTTTTTATGTTTCCTTTTTTTTTCCCATATGGAGACCACAAAACTCTCACACACATACTATATTGATAGTAGCTAAAGAATTTGCACACTTCCTACACACTCATTCACACTCATGATGACTGTAATTACTAAAAAACAAAGAAAGAAGCACATAATAAAATCGAAAGCATGTTAGAAATGTCCGTTGATACCATTTGGACATGAATAAGAAATGAAACATGGAAAATGCTCAAAAAATTTCCTCCCCGTTAGGATTTGTTTGTTTTTCTCTTCTGGAATATTATAGGTATTATGTTTCTCTTTACAATTTGCTGTACAGCAATAGCAACATAACGTCACGAGCAGGCATCTCCAATTCCTGAAATCTTCCTGGTTTATGCACGAGAGGATCCTTTAGCCGCATCCCAAGAGGCATTGCAATAGTCTCCAGGGTCCGAGACAAATCGGTGGATTTAGCCACAACAGATCCAAATCGCATCAAAGTTGTGAAAGCCTCATGGTCTCGGTGCTCTTGATTTGTCCGAACTCCTGGGCTTTAAACATTGGCACTGGACCTCCATACTTGTCCAGATACAAATACCATAGTCTCCAGGTTTGGCAGTTTTTAGACGTCAGTCCAACAGACATGTCAATATCCATCCTTGCAGCATCAGAATGAGCAATACTGTCTGTTTTTTGCTTCATTCGTCACCATTTTCTTGTGCTCACCAAAGTCACAACTTTGAAAGGATGACTGTTTTCCTGTGTAGGATCTTGACGACGGAAAGTCCCATTGATATTATTTTTACAATTATCTGTGATATTTAAATTTTTTTTTTTTTCATTTTTTGTCTGTTTTCTTTTAAATGATCAGGACACTCAGTTGTAGATTCACACACGTGGTTAAAAAATGGCCTGGTTGGTGAGATTAGAAATTATTCTAAATGAACATGATTTTAATCTTCAGTTATGGTCTTTTTTTTTTTTTTATGTGTTTTGTCCCCCATTGTCCAGCTGCACACGTAGGCTTGGGGATTTTCAGAGGCTGTCCCTTAACACACGGTGCCGTTTTCTTGGCGGGATTTGGGGCACGTGGAGCGAGGGATCGGCTGTACTGAGGGCGCCAGCGTGCAGAAGAAGCCGGCGATGAGGGACAGGCCCAAACCGCCCCAGGCGCAGAACATTGACCAGCCGTAACCGTGACTGATGTCGTCTGGGAGGCCGTATATGTAGCGAGGGTAACGGGATAGCTCGAAGTTGATGCCTGCTACACAGGTGCACAAGGAAATGATGCAAAATGTGCCTGAAAAAGAGAAAGGCAATCATCAGAATGTTCATCCAACTGAAGTTTCATACATTTACTGTGCTGCTTTTGAGTTCCAGTTCAGTGGAAATCTGCAGATATTTCTGTAGAGGTCTACATTACAAGTGAATCATACAAATAGTGGTCTTTGTGCAAAGTAAACCCACACTTGACCCTTCGCAAAGACCCGTCGCCCTTAGTTACTGTTGCTGTGTCCGACAAGCTATGGTGCTCTCACGCCACACGTCATGTTCTCACGCAGTGAAAAATACATTGCGGCGCAAAGAGGAAACTGACAAAGACAGAGCAGGTTACTTTAGGTATGAAACAAAGTCTCAATAAATAGTACATTTTTAAGTAATTCAAACAATAAATACTGTTTTGTGGCTCTTTAATATGTCGTGACAGATCGCTGTAGCGCCTCAGTTCAAGCAGCACGTGAACCGATCATCTCCTTTTTACTAGCTATAGCTAGAAATAAACATAAATGAACATCAGAAGATATCATTTCAACCGCGGAAAGACCCATATAGTTTGCAGATTCAGCATTATAATTGGTCAGATCGTCTGTCAATCAAACTCCCGGTGAATTAATTCCAAAAGAGTCGGGCGTTAACACATGCTAAGCTAATACTTTAATAAGCAGCAAATAATATTAAGTAAAAATAGCACAGCAAATGCAAATATTGGGGAACTGACCGATATGAAATTAAGAAAATTATTTTTATATAACTTTTTCACTGACCATTTAGATGTGAGCTTAATGTTACACTTTTAGCAATGCTAATAGGTGAATAAATATGTGACCCTGGACCACAAAACCAGTCATAAGTTGCTGGGGTATATTTGTAGCAAAAGCCAACAATACATTATATGGGTGAACATTATCGATTTTTCTTTTATGCCAAAATCATTAGGATATTAAGTAAAGATCAGGTTCCATGAAGATATTTTGTAAATTTCCTACCATAGATATATCAAAACTTAATTTTTGATTAGTAATATGCATTGCTAAGAACTTCATTTGGACAACTTTAAAGGTGATTTTCTCAGTATTTAGATTTTTTTTTTGCACCCTCATTCCTTATTTATTCAGCTTTCAGATGATGTATAAATCTCAATCTCAAAAAAATTGACCCTTATGACTGGTTTTGTGGTCCAGGATCACATATGCATCCTAGACATATGGTCTCTATTGACTTTTATATAATTATATAATTGTGATCATTTTAGAATTGCTGGGACTGCATATACATGCAAATAAATATGACTGAAATTAGAGGACTGGAGAAAAAAACATCACAAGCTGGCTTTGATGAGATGGTCAGAAGTTATTTAAATAGAGCTACCAAACCAAATCATCATTTTCAAATGATTGTTGAAGAGAAATCTAGAAATCTATAGAAAATTGTAAGTGAATTTTGATTTGCACTGCAGTGGCAGCTTTCTGTCTATAGCCTGCCCTACACTGTCATTAATTGCAATCAATTGTATTTTCGATGTGCCGCATTGGTTGTGTTACAGGCCTACTACAAGCTGCGGTTGTTATATGTTATTACATAACATTGCAGTGACAGTCCATCATACAGTTGCAGACTCGGCATATTCACAACTCCTTGCTCTCAAGCCTTGTTTCATATATTACAAGCTTTATCTGCAAGTCGAGCCCTGTATAGATGATGCTGTTGTAACATGCTAGTTGATAAAGAGCTCTAACAAACTCATTTTCCCGCACCATGTGACCGAGCGAACATTCAGAGGGGATTCATCCTGCCATAATCTGACCCTCAGCGCTCCTTCTGCCTTTATAATTTAGCATCTTAATTGGCTTTTTAATTGCCATCTCATTATTCAGGCACAGGGCATCACATTAATCCAGTGCACATCTTAATTGCATCTCCGCTTCACTCTCTCTTATGGGAGCGGCGAGAGTGACGCAAAACAAGTCAGCCGCTTCCTCTGCTCGACGGGCGTTAACAGAATATCAAAATGCTCGGTAACGAGGCCACAGGCTGTGTTGATTGGTGTGAGCAGCATCTGTGTTGTGAGGTGATGAGCTCGTGGGTGCGTTCAAAAGACAGAGCGATGCTCATCGTCGAGAGCCTCGATATTGGTTGGCGTAAAGTGAGATAAGAGATCAGGAGATAATTGAGATTACGTAATTGCTTTAATGCCGGCTTCCTGGCTGTCACTCATTAATTAATGCAGTCTTGGGGTGACTTGCGTGGGAATTATTGACTACCACAATGAGCTCAGCAAACAGTATATCTGTCTGTCTGTCTGTCTGTCTGTCTATCTATCTACACACACACACACACACATTGAATGTGTATATACTGTGTATATGCTTTATATATGTGTGTGGTTTTGAATTTTATATAATATTTATACATGTGTTTTTATTATTAAATGATCTGTAATAAATTCACAATTTATTTATATAATTAATATATTCGTTCATTCTTATAACGTAATTTTCTTTCATTTTTAAATTATTATACTAAATAAAATACTGTATATAATATAATAAAATATATATGTATATATATATGTAAAATATATATATATAACATATATGTACATGTATGTGTATTTATATATAATATATATATATACATGATTTTATTATTAAATGATTCTTAAATTAAAATTATATTAATATATTATATTTTTTATTTATATAGTTTTCTTTCATATATTATATTTTATATTATATTATATTATATTATATTATATTATATTATATAATTTTTTTCCCCCAAAATATTCCTAATTAAACACACCTGTTATTTTATTTTATTTTAATAAAAATGTAAAGTATCAAGTCAATGAATACAGAGGTTTTCATAATAATAATATATAATAATAATAATAATAATAATAATAATAATACCAAATGTATTTAAACATTCATTTATTATCCAAAAACATGTCTTAATTTTTGTCTCAAAATCACTTATCGTACATTCCAAATCTACTTCCAGCTTGGACAAGTTCAATGGAGCAGGAGATACAACTGATACTGACAACTGATTTCAAGGTGAAAAACTTTTTATTCACTTTCTGTGTTGTGTTGTGTTGTGTTGTGTTGTGTTGTGTTGTGTTGTGTTGTGTTGTGTTGCGTTGCGTTGCGTTGCGTTGCGTTGCGTTGTGTTGTGTTGTGTTGTGTTCAAATATGCTAAGCAATTAAGTTGAATTTTGACCAAATTTCATTCATTCATGAAGCTTAATTAAGTTATAATAATTAGGTCATCAGGGAAAATGTTAACATCCTCAAATTATTTATACATGCATAGATTTTATTTATTCTTATATATATATATACTTCTACAGATTTATGCTATATAACTTGACTTAACTATAATTTAATCCGTGTACATACTGTAAACAGCCTATATTGTCCATGTAGGCTTGTTTTGATTTGACTTACCGCCCATGAGGAAGAGCAGACCTGCCACATACTGCATGAGGCCACGGTCCCAGCAACATCCCAGCATCCCAATGATCCAGCCGAAGAGGATGATGGCCACCGCCATTCCCATAAATCCTGCCGTCATCCTCCGCAGATCTGTGGGTGGCGAGAAATAAGGCAAGTCAAACACATGACTCAGAGCTGATAAGGGCACGGCGTGGACACGCTCTGCAAAATGATGCATTTTAATGAGCGCTTCTATAAGAACTGTACTATGTTCTATATTATTACGTTATATTCTAATATATTCATCGTTTTTTTTAAACCAGCTTCATCAGGCGATCCATGAGATGCTTTTTAAACTATTAAAAGGAGTACTTGTGTATGCTGGGCTGGACAATCTAGCATTTGAGTAGTTTGTTAGCAGAATTCAAAATTGCAATTGAAAATTAATATAACTGCATATACAAAGTTCATAAACTTTATAAATCCTACAGTAATGCACTGCACTTGCCCTGCTGTGAGTGTTTGAGTGTGCGACAGGGTTGACTCTGTGTTAGCTAGAGGGTAGGTCACAACATTTGTGTTCGTTAGCTCTTTTTATTCTCAGTTGAATTCTCGCAGTACAGGAAAGGTGGCAGGCCCAAAACGCTGGACACGGTGGCTTATGCCAGCCAACTGTGAAAGGGTCACAGAGTTCACCTCCGGGGCAGACGTGCCACTAGATGAGCATACTGTAAGAGAGCTTTTATTACTTTCTAATAGGAACGAGGTGTTAAAAGCTTTTTTTCATCAGTCATATCAAAACGAAAATGTCAGATATTTATGAAACAGCAATTGATCATTCCCACATCTCTATGACAGGATATTCAGCAGATGCTTGTTTGTTATTGCTTAAATTGAAAGTGCCAGATTTCATGAGTGTATGGAAGCCCGTTTCATCCTCTAAGAAGAAATGGTAATTGCGATGTTTGCTTTTGGCACTTGTGACTTCATATTCTTAACTTTCCTTAATTTGCGACTTTAAATCTCAGTGTAATTTTATTCCTTTCAATTGCAACCATTTCGGTTAACTTCGACTTTATCACTGTACTTGTGTTTGCAATGTTATATAATAATTAATTTATTTATTTATTTATTTAATTTATGCATTTAGCAGACGCTTTTATCCAAAGCGACTTACAGTGCATTCAGGCTATACATTTTTTTTACCAGTATGTGGTAAAAAAGGTTGACTTTTCTCAAGTGACATATCTCACAATATGACTGGTTTCCATATTTTCACATTTATTTTTCACAATATGATTGAATTTAATTACAGCTGTTTTCAGTAATTGCGACGCTATGGGACATTAGTGTAGTTTTATTTCTAGTAACTGCAACTTTTACCTTTAACTGCAGGTTTATGTCTCACAATGTTACTATTTCCAATATTTGCAGCTTTATTTCTCACAGTGTGACTCCCTTTCTCACAATTGCAACTCTTTTCAGTAATTGTAACTTCAAAATGTGACAATAGCCTGATTCGACTGTAATTGTTTCTCATATGGACGTCTTTAAAAATAAATTTACATATCACCTCAGTGATAAAACTCATGGATTCGGATGGTGATCTGTTCACAGTGGAGGAGCGAGTTCTGTGATCCTACGAACCCGGGAACGTGCTGCTCACATGGCCAGTCACATGATTGTCTACTGTAAATAAAATGAATTTTATTTACAAATTTATTTACTTATTGTGTAAAATGAATTTAAAAATACTGATGTAAAATGTATTCTTATTATTCCAAGCATATTTTATAATATATAATCCTATTTATTATTGGATTATTTAAATCTCCCATTTAAAAATATGAAAATAGACGCGCTATAGTTGTATATAATTATACACGTTATCTGTTTATAATACACATTTTAAAATTGTATTGCATACCTGCTGCTGCCACAAAGACCCATTTAGAATGTTTACGTGCTTTTCTTCTCTTTCTGCTCCCAGTCGCTGTGGTGGAGCAGTCATGAAGTATTGTTATTTTAAATACTTTCTAGCATTTCAGAAATAGGGCTAAATATGTATGCAAATTACACTGAAGTAGGCTACAAAGTTACCTTAAGGTGTTCGGGAGTGCTCAAAAAGGGGTTAAACACTGAATTTTGAATCTATTTCTTCTCGTAAACTCTGAGATGTGGATTCGGACGGCAATTAAATTACCACACAACCTTGGTGTTTGTCAAAAAACAGTAGGTAATTCGGCCGGGGATTTTTACGGGGGTGGTGAGAGAAAAACACCGACATCCTGGATTCGGACGGCATTAAAATCCCCAACTACCCCCTGTAAATGGTGAAAATCATTTGCGTCCCCCCGAGAAACAATTACCATCCGAATAGAGCTAATGTGACTTTCTTGTATTTGCAGCTTCATCACAATGCAACTAATTCTTGCAGTTACAACTTTGCTTCTCATAACTGGCTTTATCTTACAATGTGACTTCATTTCTCACAATTGCCATTAATTTTGGTAACTGTGGCTTTATATCTCACAATGTGACCTTCTCATATTTGCACCTTCATTTCTCACAATGCAACTTTTTTCCTGTAGTTGCAACTTGTTTCTTGTAATTGCGATTTAATCTTACACTGACTCTCACAATTAAAAAAATGTTGTGGGGTGGGTGGTGCGACTTCTCACAATGTCAATTTATAGTATTTGCAACTGAATTTTTTTTTTTACAATGCAACTGTATTTCTTGTTGTTGCAACTTTGTTTCTTGTAACTGTGACAATTTTTGGGGAAATTGCGACTACATCTCAAAATATGACTCTAGTATTTGCAACTTAATTTTTCACAGTGCAGTCTTATTTTTCTTGTAGTTGAAACTTTATCTTACACTGTGACTCTAGCAGTTAAACAATTGTTAGGTAATTGTGACTTTTTCATAATGTGACTAGTTTTTGCAACCTCAACTTATTTGCAACTTCCCAATTGCAGCCTTATATCTCGGTGTGACTTTTTATACATTAATATTTATTTATTTTTGTTTACATTCTCACAATTACCATTGTGTTTTACTCTGAAGTGGAAACAACCATAGAAGTACCATTTGTGTCTCATAAAACTCTTCACAGAATGTTTGATAGACCTGTGCCATCTGAACTTTCATGTTTGGAAGCATTTCTCTCCTTATAAGTTGTCTTGGAACTGTTTTACTTTGCTGTCCTTTTGAGAGAGCTCGGTTATGACCCTTAGATATGGTTTACTGCAATATTGCTTCAATAAAATAAAGCAGAGCCTTCACAACACCGGAACAGTTGGTGTGAAATAAGCAAGGTTACGTTATAAATTGGTCCTTTCTTAAAAAGAGTTTAAAGAGAAGTTGGCCAAGGCATGTACTATCAAACACATTGTGGTTTAAAAAAGCTCACAAGAGTGTTATTTAAACATTGAGTCAGACTACAAACACTTTACCACACATCTAATGGAAAGCTTACTTGGGAACAGCCTTATTTTAGTTTCTTGCGTTGGAGCCCACGTAATATTTGTTACATAATAATATAGACTTTGTTGTTGTAGAAACGGGTAGTGTCAGTCAGCATGTAGGCAACAGCATGCATTCTGAAACAATAGGTGCTCCGTTATAGTCATATAAATTGCTATGGATTAGACAAGAGTTATATCCATGCAACGTTTTCGCTTTGTGGTCGTCTGTGACTTTATCTGTCAAGAGAAATGCAAGAGAGAAAGCAGTTTACATGAAGTTGGGAGCCTTTCTCAGTTAGGAGCAAATTATAAAACACTGTTTGCTACCTGAATGGCAGCTTTGGTCTCATGTTGAGAGAAACATGTTATGCCTCAGAGAGCAAAGTATTGAATTTCTCTTCCCTTCAACGTTTTTAGTAAGCCACTGGTTATAAAAATCATGTTTATGCAGTTTTTCATGAGTGTTGCACAACTTCATTCTGTAATAAGGGCAGCATACCAGTACGGTTTGGTTTTGGCTAACAATTTTATTTCTATTTATTATACTAAATGGGCTCTGCTGTATGAATATTTACTAAAAATGTACTAATTTTTTTAATTGTAAATGTGTTGCTGTTTTGCAACAGTGGTTCTCTGCTTCGCATACTGAGTGTAACTTTCCATTGTAATTTTCCTGAAATATTTATCTACCTAGCGGATGTGAAAGAATGAGTGATTGTGTGGAGATTGTGGAAGGGTTTCTTAAAGGTTCTTATGCAGTCTGCACACTGATGCTGAACTAGACTGTCAGCATCGTTCAAAATGTATGTTAACTAGAAGAGGACGTCAACGAGAGTACAAGAGCGCAAAACACTAGACAGGCAGCTCTTCTGGAAACAGGCCAGGAGAAGTCTCTGTAGTTGGCCCTCTCCTTTTGTTTGATATTCTTGTCGTTTTTGTATCTCTGTGTTTTGTAACCTGCTGGGCTTCCAGATGTGTCAGGTTCTGCCAGATCTTTGTTCCCCTTGCTCTCGAGCGCTAAATGAGAAAGCAGACCGTAAATGCTGTACTGCAAGTAAATGTGTGCTTTCAAAGTCTCTAAAGGGAAGGGTGTATAATTATGTGTGGCACAGGATCTTCGCCAATTAGATACTTTTTAATCAAAGAGAGGGAAATATATAGACTGTACTGAAGCTTGATTTCTCTGAATTCATGACCTGAAATGTCAGATCTTTTAAATTCAGTTTTTCCACTCTGGAATATGCCATGAATACCTGAAATGATGAAAAGACTGCTCCCTTAGGGCTGGACCTGACAAGATTATGCTTCCTCAAAATGAAATGTATAGTCAGGGTTTGAAACTGTTCCATGCGATCACCCACTGTTTTAGCAATGAATACTATAAGGATATACTTAAAGGTAGGGCTGTGCAATTAATCGAAATTCAGTTTCGATTTCGGCTTCCAACGATAATGAAAATACAGTAATCGAAATAAAACGATTATTGAGCGGTGCTCTTTCGTTCCTCCATAAAAGCCCAATTTCACGTGCAAATCAGTAAAATCATGTAACGAGACTTTTGAAAAACGGGACGTGCTTGATTTATTTAAGTTGATTAGATTTATTTATGTTTTTAAAAGCGTGAAAGAACTTGCGCTTCCGCGGGAAGATTACTGTGTATGCGCTCAGAGACGGAACACA